TTTATGAGATTTATTTTATGCATACTTAGTCGGAAATCCCGGACGTTTCAGTGACGCTTTTAGGGTAGATTGAGTTCGAGACGAGTTGCCGAAAGCACCCGCGTGTCATCGCCGCGACACCAGATAACTTTTGTCCCTGTTGATCATGCTCATCGCTGTACATTTAGATCGAGGCGCAATATTTAACCGCCATATAGAAGTTATGAAGTTATGAGAAATGGTTCCAGGAACTTTAAAAAAACTGTTCTTTTTAAAAACTACTTAAGAAGTTATTGGACCATAACCATGGGTGTATTGACGGGTCCCCTCGTTGCCAATCCATTAAGTATGAATATCATTGATGACGGTAAATGTGTCCGTAAACAAACGGTTAATGATTCAAACTCCTTAGATTCGACATACTTGATCGACTGGCGATCTCTCATGTTTATACTCCACTTGTTTTTTTCTGTCACCATATTTATTTTATTTAACATCATTAATATTTTGATATTAATCATATTATATATACTATTTAATATCACTATGCGATTAATATTCACTTTGCTTGGTTGTGTGCAGGCCAGAAGTTCGCCATGATGGAGCTGAAGGTGGTGTTGGCTCGCCTGCTGCTCACCTTTGAGGTGACGTGCGAGCAAAGCGTCGACCAGCTCGGCCTTAGGAAAGAAATGACGCTACGTCCTGAACACGGGGTGATGATCACCCTGCAACGCAGGGGGTGATGGTTACCTTGCAACGCAGGGGGTGATGATCACCCTGCAACGCAGGGGGTGATGTTACCTTGCAACGCAGGGGGTGATGATCACCCTGCAACGCAGGGGGTGATGTTACCTTGCAACGCAGGGGGTGATGATCACCCTGCAACGCAGGGGGTGATGTTACCTTGCAACGCAGGGGGTGATGATCACCCTGCAACGCAGGGGGTGATGTTACCTTGCAACGCAGGGGGTGATGATCACCCTGCAACGCAGGGGGTGATGTTACCTTGCAACGCAGGGATGATAATCACCTCGAACAACCTGAAACGTAGGGAGTGTTAATGCAAATTTATGGTTGAATATAGCCAGATTTTTAAAACCCGCTTAAATAATTACTCCGATTTATAATTAAAGATCATTTATATGATCGAGTCACATGGTTAAATTTAAATCAGTGGGTTCCGCCTGATGTAATAACCTGATCCCCTCCCCCTTCCGTCCTATGTTAGATATAGTCATATAGAATTTTCTCACCCTGTACATGTACATTGAGCGCACGGGCAGAGATCCATGATTATTTTCTGGAGCCGTATTATCGATAATATTTACGAGCTCGTAACTCCGTCAGGCAATATCCGATGGTTATAAAACTAAAGTCAGGAATCACAGACGAAAAATTGACCGTTACTTGTACTTCCGTTACGTGTACTTGGGTCGCTACATGTACATCGGTCGATGGTCGCTTCATGTACTTGGGCCGCTACCTGTACTTGGGTCGCTGCATGTACTTGGGCCACTACGTGTACATGGGCCACTACATGCACTTGGGCCAACACATGTACATCGGTCGCTACATGTACTTGGGCCACTGCATGTACTTTGGCCGCTACGTGTACATGGGCCGCTACATGTACTATACGGCCGCCACATGCACTTGGGCCGCTACATGTACTTGGGCCACTACGCGTAGGGTAACATGGGGCAAAGGGACCACTGCGGGTCATGGGCCCATAGTGGGTTTCCCGCGAATTATATCAGACATTGGTCCGTTCGCCCTAACGCCGGACTACAGTTTCATTGGGCTGAAGTGTACGACTATACGTTTTGCTAAGAGTTTGCGTTGGTATGTTACTTTAAAATAACTGTTTTAGCCCTGATAAAATTTTTTTTCTGCTAAATAAAATTGTTTTCGATTACTCTATATGAAGCCTTTGAGAGTACTGTGAATTATATTTTGAAAGTATTATTTATAGGGATAATTTTGAGTTCAAGTTTACTGTTAGTTTTTAAAATAAATGTTGACATGATATAAATTGAAATGATGCCTAGTGGGGCAACGGGCCCATGTGTGCCACAAGGCAAAGCGCCCATGGTGGGCTCAATACCCCTCAGTGAGTCTTGTGTTATACATCATTAGATTTGTCTCAATGAGCTCTTCAAAACTATGACTAGCTTTTTAAATTACAAATTACACTTCATATTGCATGATTTTTTGATTTGCCGCTTCAAGGCAGCAGGTTTAGCTTCCACTGTATAGTTATGCATATTTATGACCCCTTATCGAGTTATTGACTCTTGCCTTGCCAAAAATTGATCTCAGCCAACCACAATGAGCCAAAAGTTGATGAGTTTTTATGGTGTTGGCTGAAATCACGATTGAGTAAGAATTCCTTGCACATAATATCTGGATTAAGGACGAAACATGGAAGGAAGTTTTTCCTGATCAAGCAAATGATTTTTTATAGTCAAGGATACATTTTTTTCATGTCATGGATGAATTTTTTATGGCAAAGATATATTTTTCAAGTCAAAGATATATAATTTTATTTCAAGGAAATGTTTTTTTCGCGTCAGTGATAGATTTTTTAAGCCAAGAATATATTTTTTTCATGTTAAGGAAATGATTTTTTAAGTTGTTATTAAATAAGTGAATGTAATATTTTTCATTGCATTTTTCTTACTTTGAACTGTAAAGTGTTGTTTTTTTCATTTTAAAACAAAATATGCAATTGGGGTAAAGGGGCCAGGGGTGGGTGCCTTGCCCCAAACCCGTGGGCCCATTGCGCCAGGGGTAGGGCAATGGGCCCATTTTGAGACTTTTTACAAAATAGGGTTTCATTAAAAATTGAATTACTCTATAGGTGTTTAATTCCCATCATACATTCCTCATTAGCTGTAACTTTAAACAAAACAAAGAACCACCTCGTAGCAATTATAACTTCATGAAAATTTTAGTTTAAAAAAAGGGGTGGGGGCCCGCTACTTTGGCCGCAACATGTACTTGGGTCGCTATCTGTACTTGGGCCGCTACGTGTACTTGGGCCGCGCTACGTGTACTTGGGCCGCTACGTGTACTTGGACCGCTACGTGTACTTGGGCCGCAACATGTACTTGGGCCGCTACGTGTACTTGGGTCGCTATCTGTACTTGGGTCGATAAGTGTACTTGGGCCGCTACGTGTACTTGGGCCGCTACGTGTACTTGGGCCGCAACATGTTCTTGGGTCGCTATCTGTACTTGGGCCGCTACGTGTAGTTGGGCCGCTACGTGTTCTTGGGCCGCTACGTGTACTTGGGCCGCTACGTGTACTTGGGTCGATAAGTGTACTTGGGCCGCTACGTGTACTTGGGCCGCTACGTGTACTTGGGCCGATAAGTGTACTTGGGCCGCTACGTGAACTTGGGTCGCTACGTGTAGTTGGGCCACTACATGTACTTGGGCCGCTACGTGTACTTGGGCCGCTACGTGTACTTTGGCCGCAACGTGTAGTTGGGCCACTACATGTACTTGGGCCGCTACGTGTACTTGGGTCGCGACGTGTACTTGGGCCACTATATGTAATTGGGTCGCTATCTGTACTTGGGTCGCTGCATGTACTTGGGTCGCTACGTGTACTTGAGCCGCTACGTGTACATGCGCCACTACGTGTACTTGGGTCGCTACATGTGATTATGTAAGTTTTGATACTAAGGCTCCTGGCTTGTTGACATTGCACTTATTTGATAATGCGACGGATGACGTTAGTCTTTATTGCTTCCTTATGAGACCTACAAAGAAGTGAAGTTTGCGAGCTGCTCCTCTTTTTCGCATGTTAATGCTGGTGGATATTTGTTAGATTCGACAAGGAGCTAGCGATAATATTACTTAATATTATCAGGCACATAACAAAATACTGCGTGATGATTTTGAGCACACAACAAAATATTGCACAATATTATTGAGCACGAAATAAAATATTGACCATTATTATTAAAAAAAAAGGAATATTACGCAATATTATTGAAATAATAAATAAAAATAAATATGGCTTCCGCCTCCCTGAAGCAAAAGCCATTATTTGTGCATTATTTGCGCATTTTATATCGGAAGATATTACTGAGCGCCTATGTGAGCTGTAAATCTTAAAAATATGTTTCACAAATGGGGCAATGCTGTGCCGTGAAGGGGTTATTGAGTTATATTGCAATATAATATTATACCGGTAAGGTCTAAACGGTCGCGTGAACTATTCGTCTCAAAAAGTGTTCCAATCATTGGGAGACACCGCAGCCGAAAACAAATTAATTGTGGTGCATCGTGATCATAAAACTTTGATATGTGAACTTTGGAGATTAATGTCATCGCATGAAAATGGAGTAGATGAACGATGCGCCGATAGGATAGTAATGCGAGTGTACCAGGATGAGGAGATAAGGGCGAAGACCTTTGTCATCTTGCACAATGGAGTAGATGTATTAGGAGCCAATACAAGTAGATGCCAGGATTTTTTCCGAAATTATCTCTATCGACAAACCCTGATAGAGATGTTTCCGGAAAAAATTATTTTAAGGTCGCAAACTGATATGGAGCGAAAAGAAGCTTGCAAATTACTGCAAAAGTATTGGGAAATGAATATGATGATGAATTTTCGACGTTGTTCCAGGAAATATCGATACACTGACAAACATTAAACACGTACCAGCGCCTCCAAAATATCGAAACTATAATAAATAGTAGCGCATCACAGTTATTGAGGTTAATGTCAAGGTGTTCCGGATTTTTTAAGTAAAACATTTTGGTCCCTAGTGAACAATACTATTATAGGAGCCAATTAATCTTGAAATATAACCATCTGATGAAATATAGCCAAATTTATGGTTAGGATAAATTAAATTAAATTATAAATTACAAATTAGGATACTGTTCTTAATTAGACAATAAACTGGAACGTCATTCAATAAAAGTACTAAAATCGCTTGAACGCTTGAATTGTAAATTTGTAAATTAATTAGGAATAAGAATGAAACTCTGGCTTATGGAATTATTATTTTAATGATGAAACGGAGGATCATTTGCGGCAAAATAAACACGCACATTTATTTATACAAGTATTTTATCAATGCATTTAGCCGCTAAAATAATTGTGTCCAGAAAACTTTTAAATACACATAAAAAATTATTGTGAGAGGCCCTTTCCTATTCAGGCTTAACAGGTCTGCTTGTCCTTGCCCTCACCAGGGGCTGCACTATTAAAATAAGAAACAAGTTCGTAACTCCGTCAGCCAATCACTGACGGCCTCTCAAGCTATATAAACACAACAATTGATGTAAAATTGCAGCTTCGTGTACTTAGGCCGCTGCGTGCTGAGTTTTGATGGTACTGCTCCAGGACTGATTAACTTCGATTTTGTTGATTGTAAGTTTAAGTTCAAGTTATTACGCACAATTATCAAACACGGGAAAAAACAGTATTATTTTACTGGAAGTTTGAACCAATATTGCATTTGAAAATTTTACAAAATTTTTAGCAGTAGATTTAATTGAATTCATCTGTAGGCACATTTCGGAATTAATTTCTTATCTGACTAAATTCAACCGTCCTGAAAACACTCTAAAATAAGTTAACAGAATCGAACAATTTTTAAAATTTCGACGTACGAGTATCTCTGATTTAAATTAGGATATATATTAACTGGCTTCGCTTTCACAACACACTAGCTCCTAAACGATATTAATGTTCGAGTCAAGTTTGTTCCAATTATAAGCGAGTTATGTTTGCTTACTTATCTCGATGAGGTTTGGAATCTTTATAAAAGGACATCTTAATGAATATATTGCGCTTCATAAATTACAATAATTTTTGCGGAAATTAATATTCGGACAAAAATCAATCACGGAATTTTGCATTGTTTCCCAGCATTCAGCCTGACACTAATTTCCTGTTTCTCTTGAAGCACAATGCTAACTTGATGAACAATTTGAACGAACGAAATCATTTGATTTGAGTTGGGAAATCAAATTCATCAAGGCATATTTGCGCATTAACTGCTCATTTTCCAAGAGTTTGGTCGAGTAAACATTAGGACATTCTGTGCAATTGAGATTTGAGTAGAAAGATTAAAAGTGTAGATTTCGCCTTCAGGCATTTCATATTATATCTCCTGTGTGTTTCTTCTAATCAGGAGGCTACAATGTAACCATGTTTCTAAAGGAAGCCGAAAGGATTTCAGGGGGATTTAAAAAGACAAAACTTAAAAAAATTAGCGCATCTCTCTCAGTTTCTTTTTTATTCTTCTTCTGGGCTGACGTCATTTAAGAATTCGTCTAATTTCTCTCTGAGTTGAGGAGCGACGTCGCGTAACTCTGCTGCGTCTAAGATGTTGTTGAGATCTTCTTCGTGCTCCTGCAGCTCTCTTCTCAGCGTCTCCACGTCCGTGGCTTGCTGTATTCAAAAATTGGTACAAGAAAAATAAAATTAAAGCTTATCTATCAAACTAATCTATTAAACGGCATTAACTGGAGAAAAAATAACTCAGTACTCAATGCAGTGAGTGACAGAGAGCTCATTTTCTCGTCGACGATAACGTGAAGTCACGGACAGACGGACAGATAGACAGGTGGGCATGACGAGAACAATGGCCCTTTTTTTCATAAATGAGAAAATGCGCTGAAAATATTATCATCTATAAGGTTTCTTAGCTGGTTAGTATTTGCACTCATCTAAATCATTTAAGTTCATCTCTTCCTTCCTCCTACAACGTATCATTCATCGAATTCATCAAAAAATGATTGGTAAGGTAATCTGACAAACATAGACAAGCTGCTAACGTTATACAACAGCAAATAGAAATATGAATTATGCAGACAGTTAAATATAATCAGAAATATATTTCTCTAGTTAAAATCTATTTTCAAGGAAAGAGGATATCATTGTCTTACCTCGAGAATATTGCTGATGAAATTCAAAACGACAGGAAACAAGGGACCAGCTACGTCTGAATGCTCGGTGAGGAAGTTGATGAAGACTTGGACGACTCCATTACTGACGAGAAAATCTATCTGGTCAGGATCCCCGTTGGTGCTGTTGCCGAGGCACCAGACGACTTCCTTGCACACCGCATAAGGTGTCGTGCCCTGAAGAAAATATCTGCTAATGAACTCAACACATGACAATGTACGAAAAAACTCCTCTTCACATTTCAAAAGGAGTTGTAGAAGGAAAACAAAGCTGACCACCGGAACTAATAAGAAAGTAGTTCATATTAACTTTTGTCAGTTACAAGTTACAAACTGATGTGCGAAGATTGGCGACGGCGAACATTTTTCTGTCTGGTCATCATGACAAATTGAAAAACATTATTCGTCCCAAAATGTGCACAGAAAAGGGTTGAAATTATTTTGACATTGCCAACCATACCTCTGTATAAGATAATTTCTCCATTGCGTTATTTGTTTGCAAAGAGCAACGAAATTAGCAAAAAAATAAATGCAAAAACCAGAATTGGCGTCAAAATTTTCTAGAAGGAATACGACACGTACGTTCTGTCACTGCAGTACAATGAAAAAATAATCAATATATTTTTGGAGGCTCGTGGTATAAATTTCGCTGAGCTATCATAAGTGAAAAAAATAATTCAAAAATATTGATGACATACGATAATCCAATTATGTATATTTTCTAATGTATATGAATTTTTTCTTAGTGCAAGTGCAAGGAAAAGAAACTGTTGTTCACGGGCCTCACGCTTATGTCTTCAAGGTTCGATCATAGCACCGATTTTTCTTATTTCTCTAGTTTGGTAAATTCTGTGCCATGCAAAGGGCCTATAAGAGATGAGAAAATCTTTGTACGAGTCGGAAAAATAACATATTATCAAACTTAATGGGATTTCTAACTGGTGTCTAATAACCAAAGATCGATCGCTGATTGAATGCGTTGATAGATGTTACAATACTTCGGATACTCATACAAAACACGCACGTCTTTCATGGTTTGCACGAGGATGGGCACAGCTCCAGAGTCAAAGACTTTTTGTATCTGTTCGTTGCTGCCAGCCGTGATGTTAGAGAGCGCCCACGCCGCCTCTCTTCTCTCGCTGGAGGACTTCTTGTTCTCCGGCCTCAGGATGTCGAGCAGACATGGCAGGATCCCGGCGGCTATAACCTTGTCCGTCTAACGTTGGTGAAAAGTCAAAAAAATTTCTTTTTTGAACCATTATTGATATCAAGAAAATAATCGATTCTGCAAAAGGGATTACCAGCTTTGTATTAGGTACCCGAAATTTTTCTACATGCGCATCGTCAGAGTAAGCTTTTAGTTTGAAACGTTCAAACTCCTATTTCTATTGGCTTTAGATTCAGAACTGAACTCAGTTCCGAAGTCTTACTTGTTCGTCGTTTCCAGACACGACATTGCCGGCGATTCTAAGTGAAACTTTGGAGATTTTTTCGTCAGTACTCGTGAGCATTTCAGCTACGTCCTTGAGGATGTTGAGGTCCAGGACTCGCTGGATGGCTTCACTGTTGCCGTCACTGACGTAGGACAGACCCCAGGCCGCGTCAACTGCCACACATAAATAAATCGTCAACCTTAAACTAAAGGAACCTGACGCATGTAATAACTTTAAACTTTATATTAATGTGTTATTTGATGTACCACAGTAAGTTCGTTTGAGGGAGGGCTTATATTTGTGTGCAATGGTTCAATAACGGCACTTGATTATTTTCTGCGAATATTAATAGGGATACATCCTTCTCTGTTGATGCTGTGTGTATATGAAGGTCAAATATGTACGAACAGTCGCGCGCCAAATTTTAGCTAATTTTAATTTGAGTAGGTGTGAACACTAGCTTACGACACTAATTTAGCTCAATATCAATAGTTTCTGCATAAAAGCATTCATTAGAATATCGATGTTAATTACATCGTAAGTTTAATCTTTAATGCGTTCACTAAGGCCTTACGTTTGACAGAAGGGTCGCTGGACCTCAGGTACCCTCGGAGCATGAGTAGGCATTTTTTCCAGTCTTCGTCATTCATTTGGCAAGGCTTCGGCCGCACGATGTTACTTATCGTCCACGCCATGTTGCGGTGAGCTGCCGTCTGTCAGTAGGTAAAATTTAGAGGAAAATAGAGAGGCGATAGAGGTAAATAGAGAGGTGTAAGAGGTAAATAGAGAGATGAGAGAGGTAAATAGAGAAGTGAGAGAGATAAATAAAGAGGTGTGAGAGATAAAAGTATGAGAGGTAAATAGAGAAGTAATAGAGATAAATAAAGAGATGAGAGAGATAAATAAAGAGGTATGAGAGGTAAATAGAGGGTGATAGAGACAAAAAAAGGTATGAGAGGTAAATAGAGAAGTACGAGAGATGAATAAAGAGACGAGAGAAATACATAGAGAGGTATAAGAGGAGAATAGAGAGGCAGGGAAGGCAAATAAAGAGGTGAGAAAGTTGAATAGAGAAGTAAGAGAGGTAAACATATAGGTGGGAGTGGCAAATAGCAAAGTAAATAGAGAGGTATATAGAGAGGTATATAGAGAGGTATATAGAGAGGTAAATAGAGAGGTATATAGAGAGGTATATAGAGAGGTATATAGAGAGGTATATAGAGAGGTATATAGAGAGGTATATAGAGAGGTATATAGA